CATTCAACTTTCAAATGCCATGAAGAACATGGATGTTGGTGAATTGTGGCCTAGGCAAGTGAATGATGATGAAGATGATCAAGTGCAAGTGCTATCTAACTCAAATGTGCAAGATGATACAAATCAAGCTAGCACAAGTGGCTCTCATGATAATGAACAAGATCAAGTGGCTAGTACATCATCTCTACCCAATGATCAAGCAAGTGCAAGCAATCAAGTTCCAATGCTCCAACCAACCAATATTGCAAGGGATCATCTATTGGACACTATAATTGGTGATATTTCAAGATGTGTGCAAACTAGATCAAGATTTGCAAGATTTTGTGAGCATTTCTCATTTGTGTCATCCATTGAACCAAAGAAGATAGATGAAGCATTGAAGGATGTTGATTGGGTGAATGCTATGCATGAAGAGTTAAATAACTTCGCAAGAAATTAAGTATGGGAATTAGTAGAGAGACCAAAGAGACACAATGTGATTGAAACCAAATGGGTCTTTAAAAACAAGCAAGATCAAGATGAGATAGTAGTAAGTTACAAAGCAAGATTGATAGCACAAGGTTATACACAAGTTGAAGGTCTTGACTTTGGAGAAACATATGCCCCGGTTGCTAGATTGGAAGCAATTAGGATCTTACTAGACTATGCTTGTGCCCACAACATCAGGCTCTATCAAATGGATGTTAAGAGTGCATTTCTCAATGGTTACATTAATGAAGAAGTATATGTTGAGCAACCTCCCAGTTTTAAAGATGACAAGAAGCCTGACCATGTGTACAAGTTGAAGAAGGCATTGTATGGCTTGAAACAAGCACCTAGAGCATGGTATGAGAGATTGAGGGACTTCCTACTCTCTAAAGAGTTCATGATGGGCAAGGTTGACACCACTCTTTTCATCAAGAAGATTGGAAAAGATTTATTTGTGATGTAAATCTATGTTGATGACATCATATTTGGATCAACAAATCAAGATTTTTGTGATGAATTTGGAAAGATGATGGCTAATGAGTTTGAGATGTCCATGATTGGAGAGTTAAGTTACTTTCTTGGTCTTCAAATCAAACAATTGAAGAATGGTACATTTGTGAGTCAAGGCAAGTATATAAAGGACATGATCAAGAAGTTTGGTATGAGTGATAGCAAAGCCATTAGTACACCAATGGGAACAAATGGCAACTTGGATAGTGATGCAAGTGGTAATATGGTGGATCAAAAATTATATCGGTTTATGATTGGAAGCCTACTCTATGTGACCGCATCAAGGCCGGATGTCATGTGTAGTGTATGCATGTGTGCAAGATTTCAAGCCTCACCAAGAGAAAGTCATTTGAAGGCTACAAAGAGAATATTGAGGTACTTAAAGCATACATCAAATGTTGATTTGTGGTATCCCAAAGGAGCAAAGTTGGAGCTAGTTTGTTACTCCGACTCGGATTATGCGGGATGCAAGGTTGAAAGAAAGAGCACCTCGGGCACTTGTCAATTGTTGGGAAGATCACTTGTTTCATGGTCATCAAAGAAGCAAAATAGTGTTGCATTATCAACCGTCGAAGCCGAATACATATCTGTCGGTAGTTGTGCACAAATACTTTGGATGAAGGCCATTTTGAGTGATTTTGAAATCAAGTTCAAGAAAGTGCCATAGCTATGTGACAATGAGAGTGAAATCAAGTTAACCAACAATCCGGTTCAACATGCAAGAACAAAGCACATTGATGTCCGCCACCATTTCATAAGAGATCACCAACAAAAATGGGACATTGGCATTGAGAGCATAGGCACCGAAGATCAACTTGCCAATATATTCACCAAGCTATTAGATGAGAAAATGTTTTGCAAGCTAAGGAATGAGTTGAACATATTGGATTTCTCAAATATGTGTTGATGCACCCCCCACTTATAGACATGCCTCTCCTTCGAGCAATCCAAGGTAAAAGTTGATTGGCATGGCATACATTCTTGTTAAGGACATGTTTAGTGCATCTAGACATCTTTCACATTTAATAGGTTTATTCATGAAAATCAAGTGAATTTGATGATTATATAGTACCACTATTGCTTCTATGCTTATTTTGATCTAGTGGTAGTATATGACATGTTTATGGGCTTGTAAACCTAGTGTTTAATCTAGAAAATGAGCTAACTCATTGCATATGCATTTAGGATCTAGTGGAGTGCTAACACCCTTGAAAATGTTTGTGAAAATATGCTAACACATGTGCACAAGGAGATACACTTGGTGGTTGGCACATTTGAGCAAGGGTGAAGAAGATAGAGTTGAAAAGGAGTTAGTCACGCTGGTCACGCAGTGACCGGACGCTGCTCTCAGTGGGACCAGTGCGTCCGGTCAATGATACAGCAAAGACGCTGGCGTCGGTCTCTGACCGGACGCTGGAGGGTTGCGTCCGGTCCTGCTGATGTGGCAGTGCACAGGGGAGTCACCGTGTGACCGGACGCTGGGTGTGTCTGGTCGAGCATGACCGGACGCGTCCGTTCGTGAAAAGTCGTCTCTGGATGCTTACTGGAAACGACCGGACGCTAGGGTTCAGCATCCGATCACTTTGAGTTGTTGCATCCGGTCATCACTTGACCGTTGAGATCGGGCGATCAACATTTGAAGAGAGGGGACACGTGGCACGCATCGCGTGACCGGACGCTGAGGTCCAGCGTCCGGTCAATATGACCGGAGCGTCCGGTCACCCCGTGTTGTGCCCAGTGAAGGGGTACAACGGCTCTATTTCGTGGGGGCTTCTATTTAAGCCCCATGACTGGCTCAAGCTCACTCTCTTGGCCATTTGCATTGACATAGCAACCTTGTGAGCTTAGCCAAAGCCCTCCCACTCATCTCCATCATTGATTCATCATCTTTGTGAGATTGGAGAGAGAATCCAAGTACATTGCTTAAGTGTTTACATCTAGAGGCACTTGGTGTTCGTGTTTCATTGCGGGATTTGCTTGTTACTCTTGGTGGTTGCTGCCACCTAGACGGCTTGGAGCAGCGAGGATCGTCGAGCGGAGGTTGGTGATTGTCTCCGGCTCCGATCATGGTGATTGTGAGGGGTTCTTGACATTTTCCCGGCGGAGAGCCAAAAGGTACTCTAGTGAATTGCTCGTGGCTTGTGTGATCCTCATCTTGTGTTGGTTGTGCGGCACCCTATTGAGGGTTTGGCGTGGGATGCCAATTAGCGCGTGAACCTCCAAGTGAGTGAATCGCCGCGACGAGGAGTAGCTTGCCGGCAAGCAAGTGAACCTCGGTAAAAAATCATTGTGTTCATTACTTGATTCCGAGGTGATTGGTCTTCATTGTTATTCATTCTTGTGATTGATTGGCTCCTTCCTTGACACGACGGAATAACTTTCTTGCTCACTCTCTTTACATTGCCACAAACTAGTTGTCAAGCTCTTTAGTGTAGCTAGTTGTGAGAGCTTGTTAGTTTGGTTAGTGTGGCTCTTTAGTTAGGTTTTGAGAGCACTCTAACTTAGTGTAGTGACATAGCTATTGTGTGAATAGAAATCATATAAACTAGAATTGTGGTAGTTGGCTTGTATTTTTAGTAGGCTAGTGCAACACTTGCTCCGCCTCATAATGATGTTCTATGATGTATTATGTGATGTTCATGTATTATGCATGTGATGTTCTATGATTTTTTATGTTCACGTGTTATATATGGGATGTTCTATGATGTTTTTATTTATGTTCACGTAGATGCGATGTTCTATAATTTTTTTTGTGATGTTCGCTTAGTATACATGTGATGTTTTCATAGTATATAGGTGGTGTTGTATGATGTTTGATGTTCTCATAGTATACAGACGATGTTTTATAATGTTTTTTTTTATATTCACGCAGTATACATGTGATCTTCTATGATGTATCTAGTGATGTTCATGTAATATATACTTAATGTTCTATAATATTTTTAGTGATGTTCTATGGTGTATTTAATAATGTTCTCTCAGGATATATGTGATGTTCTATATTGTATTTTAGGATGTCTAAAAATTATCTATATGATGTTCTTTTAAATTTTTCTCCATTACCGTGTTTTTTCTGCCCGACTTTATACAGCCAGTTGAAAAGATTGAAGATGCCAGGACAGGAGCAGGGGAGGTAGTACTCCTCTCCTCTAGAAGTTCTCCTTGTCATTTCCATTTCCTCTTCTCTCTTATCTATGTGCTCGTTGGTCGTTGGTGCGACTTCAAGTCTGCCAAGCACCAGTAGGGTCTTGCTTTAGTCAAAACTCAAACATAGATAGGGGCGACTTCGCGAGGCAATGATGGCGTAGACTTGCTCTGTTACGCTGTAGTAGTACGTGTCGTCGTTACCGGATCTGGAGAAGCGACGATTCAGTGCAGCAGCAGCTGCTGCTGCTTCCAGTTTACCAGTCCAGTTTGATCTCCTTACATTTTGCTCAGATTTTATTATTTTTATTTATGTTATGTATTTATTTATTTATTTTTATGTATATTATAATATCAATTTCATGAATCTAACACTAGAATACAGATCTTTTAAACCGAGAATATTTTCTTACAGAGACGGAACATTGTTCTCTGAAACTTGAACATCGTCTCTGCTCAATACAAAGATATTCTATCTTCATAAGATAAATGTTCGTTATTAAATTTTTATCTAAATATATCTATGTGGGATCTTGTTTTGAAGATTTTATTGCAACAAATCTGATGGTGTAATCGGAATTTAATTTGGATGTTTAGTTTAGGAGTTATAACTTTTTTTTTATTTCATTGAAAGTCACTGCATGCTTACCATCCGAGGGCGGCACGGGATGTTCAACAATCAGAAAAAATGAAGTGAGAGTCAAACAAACAAAATACAGTAGCTGTCGCTACCATCTTGTGGAGGCTGTGCCTCTGAAAGTTATCTCGGCCTGACTCTATATAGACGGGGGCACGGGGCCAGCACTTCCACAAGAATTAACCCGACGGAAACACATCAAAAGAAGGTGGAATTTTGTTCAGACCTTGCGACACCAGCAATGGCCGGAGGAGGCGACCTGAAGCTGCTGGGCATGTGGGCGAGCCCGTTCGTCCTCCGGGTGAAGCTCGCGCTCAGCTTCAAGGGCCTGAGCTACGAGTATGTAGAGGAGGACATCGTCCGCGGCAAGAGCGAGCTGCTCCTCAAGTCCAACCCGGTGCACAACAAGGTACCCGTGCTCATCCACAACGGGAAGCCCGTCTGCGAATCGCTGATCATCCTGCAATACATCGACGAGGCCTTTGCCGGCACTGGCCCGTCCCTCCTCCCTTCTGACCCCTACGAACGCGCCGTTGCTCGCTTCTGGGCCGCCTACATCGATGACAAGGTATGAAAAGAAAACCCCGTCTTCCAATCGATCGCATCAATTGACTGCGACATTGCCTGTTTCGTTGATAGATGGGGCATGACATGCGTGATGTTGTCTTGCAGATGCTGGCCGCTTGGACGCAGGGGTCGAGGGGCAAGACGGAGGAGGACAAGGCTGAGGAAAAAAACAGTGGTCCGTCGCGGTTGAGACGCTAGAGGGAGCGCTGAGGACTGCGGCAAAGGGAAGCCCTTCTTCGGCGGCGACAGCGTCGGGTACGTGGACGTCGTGCTCGGCGGCCTACTTGGGTGGGTGCACGCAAACGAGGAGGCGTTCGGCATCAGGTCCTTGATCCCCAACGGACTCCGCTCCTGGTGGCGTGGTCGGAGCGCTTCGGCGCACTGGAAACCGTCGAGCCTCCGATGCCCGACGTGAGCAGGCTGGTCGAGTTGGGCAAGATGGTGCTGGCCCGTGAAGCGGCTGCGGCGGCTGGTGCAAGCAACTGAAAGTGCTTGTTCTATCGATCCAGATTTCCCATGTGTTTCAGCCTTTCAGGCGTTCAGCTAGTGTTGAAATTTGTGCGGGGGAAGTTTGCAATTCGGATTTTGCCGTTTGACCTGTAACTTCGGAAATATCCGTTTGGTTTAGTAATTATTCATTGAATAAGGAATTGTATTTTTTAAATTATACAAGTACAACGTAGACACCCACAATGCACGCACACTCATCCATATGAACACACGTACGAAAACACTACCTCTATGAGCACCTTCGAAGGACTGCCGCGGATCTCGAGATTCACGAAGTCACCACAGGCGCGTCATTGTCGACGGAGACATCGCCTACCACTGAAAGCATAGCGCCGTTAAATTCTAGAATAAATTCAGTAAATGCGAACATCCGTGCCAAGTCGAGGACTTAATCCAGGTGGGCAGGTTCCACCAAAAGTGACCCGACCAACTGATCTATGATCAGTTCGCAAATAAGGAATTGTATTTAACTAGCAAGACATGCACCTGGGTTGCAATGGAAGAAAAATACTATCAAAAGATACGTGTATTGATATATTTTTATATTATAAATTTATAATTTATTTTATGTAAATTAATATTGGTAATAATATGACAATGCTCCATTAAATCCATATCAAATTAAAATGGGAAAATTGGATTTGTACCATGAAAGAACCGGAGTTTAGAAAAATAGCATCCAAAGATTCAGCTTGAGCAATTTAGTATCAAAAGATTGCTCTGATGTTGCCTTCTACCATTTCCGTTAAATTGACGTTAACTGGAATGCTGCGCTGCACTGCACTAACCACCACCGCCCCAATAATGGTGCTGCGTATGACATATGTTCCCATGAACCCCAAGGGGGCCTTCGCCTGTGTCTAGTCCTCGCCATCTAGGTCCATCACGGCATAGAGCTTTCCTGCTCTGTGTCTCCGCTAAGATTTCCTCAGGGGGCTGCTCCTTCCCGACTTCAACGGGTAGTCGATGGATGCTCCATAGCCGTCGGCCATGGAGCAAGAGCTGCGCGGATAAGGAGTGGCGCGGCGTGTAGCACAGGGAAGAGGAGATGACAATAAGCACCCATGCAGCCTTAACCGTCCTCCTCCACCACCTTGGCCTGCACATCTTCAGCCTGGTTTCCTCTCCTGCTACTGGGACGCTGAGAAGTAAAGGGTAGAGGAGGTGCACGCACCATGTACGAGAGGTTCGAGAAGCAGTGTCCCAGGCGAGGAGCCTGCCAATGGTCCTCGCACACCCTTATGCTGCTGCGTGCGTGTAGCCACTTCCTCCTCCCTTTTGCTGCGTGTGTGTTCTGTTCTTGCGAGTTGGGTGGTGAATGTGTTAGCGGGGAGTTAACAAAACTATAATGGAGGCATCTTTAAATGCTATGTTTCTAAAGCTTAATCTTTAAATGGTATTTTTCTAAAGTTTGCATCTTTTAGTGGTACAACCCCAATTTTCCCTTAAAAAATATTTTTGACAGATTTTTTCTCTGTTATGAAGTACATAAATATTTACTCGCTAATATAACATAACTTTAGTTTCCTTACTATCAATGTGTCAGTAGAGTTAAATATCAAGTTTCACGATTTTCTTTTAAGGACCCATGAAAATATCTATACCTAATACTTGTTTATTAGAGAAAGATCAAGGTTCAAAGAGTCATAAATATTATATTTATAGCAATCGAGTTTGATCCTTGCAACGGAACTTACGGTTTATGGTGCAGTCAACGACTTGCGGCTCTGTGATTTATTTAAGGATTGCGCCATCTATCCCAATGCATGTTGGTGTCCGACGCCATAGCATTGTTGGACGTATCTTGTAGTCAGACACTATATCATCATGGATGCGTGTTGTTCTAACTTACGTGAGCATGGCTCGTGAGTACAAGTCACTTGCGGGACAGAAATTCCATATCGGTGCTGGACAGTTGTTGTTCTAACTTATATGGGCATGAGTTCAAATCACGGATGGGACAAAGAGAAGCGCAAGGGTATTGTAAGAAGTAAAAAAAAGGCAGTTGGAAGAATCCTTTGCTCTCTAATATCGAGTATGTAGATGTAGAATATAGATATAAATTAGACCGGACAACGAACAGCTCAAGATTTCAGTTTACAGCTTCATTAGTACCATTGATTGATCTAAGTTGTGATAAAATAAAGTTTTATTTCTAATCAAAACTATATCAAGAATCTAGTAGTGAGAATATTTGTTTATTAAAGATAGAGAAGGGTTAATAAGGATTCAAAGACTGATAATATTATATTATATTATTGGAGATGATGCAGTAAAAATGTATTGAAAAATTTAACAAAAAGGACACGAAAGAGACTCAAGATATTCCTCCAAAAGATAAGAAAAAAAAAAGAATGAGAATACAAAAATAAAAAAAAACAGAATGGGAACTGGAAACAAACGCCGAACAGAAAGAAACAGAACAAACGCGGAAAACAAACCTGAATGGGTACGTGGTGAAACGATGAACAGAAAAGGTAATCCCAGCCGAAATAGAAAAGAAAAAAAAGCTCCGAACAGACACGGGAAAAACAGGCGCACAAAAAAATAATCATAGGTTACCGAGCGGTGGAAAGTTTGACGAAAAAATTTGGAAATGTCTAGACAACAACCTTTTGTTTTAGCCCTCCGATAAATCAAATTTTTCTCATACACTTACACTGCCTTATAGCTATATTTACACTACATTATTACTATATTTACAATGATTTCTTCCATGTAATTTATTGGAAAGAGTGATGTAATTTGAGAATAACACAAATATATGTTAAAATTTTCAAAAAGATTTACAAATTATTTCTCTGAATTCCAGACATCAGAGAAATATATATCAAATTATTCACAAATTCTTCAGAAATTAAAAAAAAACAAAATCCACACAAGGAGGTGAGAGAGGAGAGATTATCGCAGGGTGTTCCGTACTCACATTCGTGTGTCGTGCAGGACACAGTACCGCATGATTGCTTGCTTGATGCGCTGAAGCCAAGCGGATGCATGCACAGGGACGCATCGCACGCACGCGCCAGCATGATCGCAGGTGGGGGGAGGCCGACGCTTCCGCATCGCACGGCCCAAAAAACGGTTGATAACAACCGGGAAATCAACCGATTGATCATTAGCCTTTCTGAAAAATTTTAGTGGCAAAAATCTTGCCTCGATAATAGAATAATAGATAATAGATAGATATAGATATAGATATAGATTTGAAAGCTGAACTCGTCATACGGATAGCTGCAAAAATGAAAACGTAGGAATTCTTAGGCTCTTCCAATCGTTTTCGAGATCAAATTCCAACAACATAAAAATATCTCCAATACTACTATCTAAAACATGGTTCCTATTTTTCTGTTTGAGTAGCCACCTACCTTTAAAGGGCTTGTTTTCACATGACTATCAAATTTATCTTAATAGACACTATCATGTGGGACCCACTTTCCATTCTCCAATTATTCTTCCTCGCTCTATCAACTAAGCTATGCGTGTCATGCATGAAGGGAGACCACAATGAAAGGGCCGACAGGGAGGGAGCTCTAGTGAGTGTTGAGGAGGAGCCGGCGAGGGCCGGTCGCATCTAGGCTCACTGGACATGGAGGCACCAGTGGTGGAGAAGGGGCCACTGGCGGTTGTATAACACCTCGGTGTTAAGCATGCATTAACATTTTGCAAATTATGAGCACAATCCTTATTATGCATTCATAAGCATGACATGAAATATAGAATTAAAACATACTAATGAAACATGTATGTTGCATAGTTTTGTTTTAATAGATTGGATGCTATGTTTGTTTTGCCATGTGTATACCTTGGTTGATCACTTAGACCAATTAGAAGTAACTAAGATGCAATTTGGAGCAAGGTGTATATTCAAAGTTTTCTCAAATTTTGCTTTTAAAAATAATCTTCTAAAATCGGGTTTTTGATTTAAATTATCTTTAAATCTATAGTTCAAGATCTAATTGGATTTTGGCCTTACTCTTTTTGGCAAAGTTGTAGAGTACTTTTTTCTGAACAACTTTCATTTTTACACCAACTTGTGAAAATGCTTCTAAAATGGCTCAAAATGGAATTTTAGTTCTGTTTATTTAAGAAATAAAAGAAAATCATTTTATTTTCCTTAGCAGTCATTGCTCACTTTTTTGGCCCAGCTCACAGAGCGCCCATTGCCCCCTCAAGACCTCGCCTCGCTCGCCACGCCTTGACGCTCTGCCTTGCCCTTGCCCAAGGCGCCGCCTGTGGAAGCCGCCACCACCGGCAGGGGGATGCCTCATCCGACCGACTGCAGGTTCGCCTTCAAGGCTGTTCACCACGCCAGCATGCCACCCCACTCCACACTCCATCCTGTCTCCTCCTCCTTCCTCTCCATTTCAAAGTTCCGTGGGAGCTCTCACCACCGAGGCCACCGCCACGCTCACCGGCGTGCCCTCCACCACCGCCTCTTTCTTCGATTCCTCTAGTCAACAGCTCCGCCTCGTCAAGCTCCCTCGTTTGCGC